CTTAAAAGTAGATTGGTTTCTTGGGTTTGTTTACCTGGTATATTCTCTGAGAACCACCACATTAAAGTAATATCTTAATATATAATTAAATATAATTATTAAGATATTAACCAAATTAATAGGGTAAAATGGAGTAATTATTAGAATAATTCAAAAGAAAGCAATCAAGAAGAGTAAAAGAAACAAAAAGGTAGATAAAATAGAAAACATATAGTAAAATGGTAGAAACAAACCCAGATATGTCAGCCATTATATTAACCATATGTGAGCTAAACATTACAGTTGCAAAGATCAACAGATGAGATCAAAACAAAAACAAAACCCATATGCTGCTTATAGGAAAGACTCCTTAAATGTGAAGTCACACAAGTTGAAATTACAAGGAAAAATGGAATTCTAGAAAGATGACAACAGCATAGATTTTTAATCTCCCTAGATATTCTTATACAAACATGTAGAGCAACTAAAATATCTAATCGAAAACTCACGGGCAACATTTATAACCATTCAGGGAGTTGTGGTATCCCCTGAAAACACCAAAATAGCTGGTGGGATAAACAGCTGATGGCTATAAGACCCGTATGGTATCAGTAGCTGTGCAAGAGGTAGGAGAGGGTAACTACAGCTATGTGATGAACCCATGCACTCTGAAATAATAAAACTAGTTCAGCAAGCTCTTTTGAGAATGACAGCAATAGTGTCCATCTTTCAAAATAACCTCCTGTGATTCTTCCTTCCTGGTGTTCACACTTTGCATAGTTCCTTTCCACATTTTACTTAGGGTTACTCATTTGGCCAATAGAATATGGCAGAAGTGATGGTATACCACTTGTAAGATACGGTTATAAAAACATTGAAGCTTCCATTTTGGGTTCTCTCGGATCACTTCCTTTGAGGGAAGCTAGCTGCTGTGTTGTGAGGATTCACATATCCTCGTGGTCTTGCCCTAGTTGAGCCTTTAGATCAGCCTGCAACTGTGGTCAACAGCTTGACTGAAACCTAGTGCAAGATCTTGAGCTGAAACTACCCAGCTAAGCTGCTTCCAAATTCCTAAATTGCAGAAACTGTGAGATAATTTTTGTCTTAAGCTGCTAGTTTTAGGGTGATTTGTTATATGACAACAGAGCTAATATAGCAACTGAAGCTAATGAGGTATACACACCGGTTTAGATGAATATGAGCAGTTTGCAGTAAGATTTTAAACGGATTAGAGTCCAGCAAGCTCTCGAAATTATTTAGCTAAAACTATTCCAAGGCAGAGTCCCATACAGAAAAGAAATGACTGGAAATGCAATCCAAACTGAATAGGGTAGGGACAATAAAGACAAAAGAAAAAGGTTTCAGTTAAAAATCAGAAAGGAGAATAGAGCCAGGAAATTTCAGTAAGTAAGCTTCCATTGTGCCTTTTTAAAAAAATAATTTGAGGCATAATTTACATAGAGCAATATGTATTATATATTTTAAGTGAATATTGGCAAGTGTATGTACCTGTGCCACCACTGTGATCAAGATACAGAACGTTTTTATCACCCCAAAAAGTTCCTTTGGGTTCCCTTAGAATCTTCACCACTACCCTTAGCCCTGGCCCCAGACAACTACTCATTTGCTTTCTATTAGATTAGATATAGATCATTAGCTGCTATAATTTTGAATTCTTCTTCAAAAATATCAATTAAAAAAAGTAAGTTCTACAGAACTCTATAGCATTGAACTAGTAAAGCTAAGTGAAATTATACCCTCTAAAGGTTCAAGAGATTTATTAAAAGAAAGCGGGGGGGAGGTGGAAGGAAGGAAGGGAGGGAGGAAAGAAAAGCCTTGATGTCAAATATGTAAAAAGGAAAAAAAAAGGAATGAAGATAACAGCCTTTCAAGGAAAGAATCCCAGAAAGACGTGCATGCGTCAAGAAAAGATGAACCAGGGGCGCCTGGGTGGCTTAGTCGGTTAAGCATCCGACTTTCGCTTAGGTCATTATCCTGCGGTTCGTGGGTTCGAGCCCCGCATCGGGCTCTGTGCTGACTGCCAGCTCAGAGCCTGGAGCCTGTTTCAGTCTGTGACTCCCTCTCTCTCTGACCCTCCCCTGCTCATGCTGTCTCTCTCTCTCTCTGCTAAAAAAAAAAAAAAAAAAAAAAGAAAAGAAAAGATGAACCAAAGATTTTAAGTCTGGCTTTCGGAATAAAGGCTGAAGATGAACTGTTATTAACTTGGAAGAACTAGGGGAGGTATTCTCATAAACTCTTCCTGGGGAATGTTCCAGAGAACTAGCTTCAGACTATCAAGATGACTGAAGAAAATTTGACCTAAAGAGTGGTGATAAACATTAGGAATATTTTTACTTTTAGAAGTTAGGACTGAAAGAGATAAATAAAGGAGAAAGTATAGAATGTAATGATTATATGATGTGATATCAGAGCTATAACTGTAAGATACGGGAGGAAATAAAGAATTTTAAATTATGTATTTTCAGTAATAGTAAGAGTGTCTTGTGTGTAATGTCTGGTAAATTAAAGAAGTATTTGTAGCATTCTAAGTTAGGTATCCTGGTGTCTTTGATAACTAGTGTTTTCTGATTGGGGGAGAAAGGAGAAACATTCATAACTGTTTTTTAAAAAGTAAATTTACCTTTAGTTCTGAATTTGAGCAAAGTATTTATATGAACTCATGAAGTATTTTGTACATGTATTCATGTGTATGTTTAAAGTTTATAGCCCTGTCCAATGAAGAAGCTTAGAAACAGTGATCAATACAGTTGCAAAAAGCTTTTTTAGTGCCTGAAGTATGGTCTTGAAATATTACTTCCACCTAAAAGAAATGAGGCTTCCTTATAGATAGAGCTCCAGGCTAGAGACAGAAAATGTACAAGATGAACTTGGAATATCTTATCTTATGGAAAACAAAGACCTCTAATTTCTTGGCAGAAAGATTTGGGAGTAAACTGGAAGTTCCTCTTGGCCAAAGATGAGACAGTTTGAACATTGACCAGGGAAATAACTGTAGTAGATTGAAACTCCTCAAATATGTATGTGCATTCCTAGTAGTATAGATACTCATTGGTCATCTATGTAGGGAACTATTTCTTTTTAAAGTTCTCTGTCTGACATGGGAATCAAAGTGATGCTGGCTTTGTAAAATGAGTCCGGAAGTTTTCCTTTGATTTCTGTTTTTTGGAATAGCTTGAGAAGAATGGGTATTAATTTTGTTTAAATGTCTGGTACAATTCCCCAGGGAAGCCATCTGGCCCAGGGCTCTTATTTGTTGGAAGATTTTTGATAACTGATTCAATTTCTTCACTAGTTATGGGGTGATGGGCATGGAGGAGAGCACTTGTGGGGAGGAGCACTGGGTTTTATATGGAAACCAACTTGACAATAAACTATTAAAAAATAAATAAAAATTAAAAATTTTTTTAAAAATTAAAAAAAATAAAGTTCTCAAAGAAAGCACCTAATCTACATTTTTCTATATGCTCTGTCACTGAGTCACCAAATAATTGATGAGGCCAAGTTTCTCTTTATGGAATTCTAGCAAATGAGAAAGGCATGTTAGAACTGGATTATCAACCCTTCACAATCCCAGTGAATTCATAAATTTTAGCACTTAATATCTATAACTCCTGTCATTAGAGGAAAAGACAACTAAGTAAACTGGATGCTTCCTGATAGACCAGACCTATTAATATTTTTACCAAAAAATGAACCTGGATTTGATTAAGCATTTCTAAATGCAAGGGTTGGCAATTTTCTTGTGTAAAGGGCCAGATGATAGCTTTAATCTTTGGCAGCCAAATTGTCTCCACCATCGCAAGCTACTCAACTCTGCCACTGTAGCACGGAAATGAACCATAGAGAATGCATAAATGATTAGTTTTTCCAGTAAAACTTTGTTTACAAAAACAGGCAGCAGACTAGGATTTTTTGACCTGTACTCTAGATCAAGCTACCAACTTACTAGGAATACAAATGATGGGAAAAACCTATTTAAGCTAAACTTTGGGAATGCACATATCAAAATCAGAACTGTGGGGAAACTCTTGATAGCAATTCTTCAACAGATTGTAAGAAAAAAAGATTGCATGAGGATTGATAAGAGTCTTTAAAACACAGGCAAATCACAGCAGATCTTTCATATGCTTAGAGAGGCAGACAGGTGATAAGACTAAGAAAATTAAGGTAAATAGTTAACTCTTAGAAGGGAATAATGAAATTGGGAGTGAGCATGTCGTTGCTTTCATGTCAAAGTTGATGACTACAAGAATTATAGATTATAATTCTTATAATTGATTATACTGTACATTTATGCAGTTTTCTGCATTTGTGAATATTTGACATTAAAAGTTTTAAAAGGTGAAAGAATAGAAAAAGTCACCAGGCAAATTCTAGGCAAAAAGTGTATTTGATATAGAATGCATTACAGAGATAGAGACATTTTATAAGACAAATTTAAGAATCCTAAATCTCTATGTACCAATTAATATAGCTTCAAAATTATAAACCAAAGTTGACAGATTAAAAGGAGAAATCCATATATAAATCCATAGTCATAGCAGGAAACGTTGAAGAAGCATATACAAACAGGTATAAATTGTGTCTATGAGAAGTACGGCCTAGTATCTGAAGGACTTTTCTTTTTAATGAGAGGTCATCTTTTTACCCACTTACTGTATTTATTGGAAATATATTTAACTCTTTGATTTTGATTGATAGAGTATTATATTATCTAGTGTTTAATTTACAAGAAAACTGTCTTCTTTCTAGATAATCTAGGCAAAGTCTGTAAATTTTTTCCCTAATATTACACTAAAGTTACACTTACCTTTGAATAGTAACTAATCACTATTGGACTTTTCCTGCCATTGGAAACAGTGGCTCAAAGTGATTGGAATAGCTATAATCCCAATTTGTAAATAGACAAAGTCCAATGGGTTTCCAAAATGACTCTTAATTATTTGCATATGGTTTAGATTTTGCTGGCAGAAGTTAACTTTTCTTCTTTTTTTAAACAGGGGTTCTGAAGGAAAATTAAATGACTGCCAGATAAGATTCGTAAATGAAATCTTTAAGATCGAGAAACCTGGAGCACATCCCCTGTCACTGGCAGATGGAAAGTTTTTAAGTATGGATTTTTCTTATGGGTTTAGACTACATATATGGTACTTGATTGGTATTTTAACCACCCAGGGAATAACTTTTGAGAAAGTATAAAGATGTAGATAATACAAATTTATTTTCATGACCACATTTTTATTCCAAGATCTGTTCTGGTTTAATGGATTTTTCTCAAATGATAAAATTTGTTTTCAAAAAAATTATTTTCTCACCTTGGCATTTTATTGCCGTTTTGTTTCCTTTATTATAAGTTCTGACCAGATAACCCATTTCAGTAATTTTGTGGCAACCTAGATTGATTTTTAATAATGAAACTTATTTTCAAATGAATAGAGCCTGACAGTAATGCTGGTTATACTTTGAATTTCTGGGAGGTAATACATGAGGTTTAAATAATCATGAGAATATTAGAACGTAGTCCTACCTTTTCACTGTACATATTGTATTTGCTTAATATCATACAGCTATTTGGTAACAGAAGTAGGACTAGATTTAATTCATGATTGCTATCTTTCCATATAAATTGTTGTCTCACACTTTCTTAATTCTGAGCTTTTTGTGGTTAACAGTTTATTGGATTTATACCACATGTCAATGTCTAATACATATTTTTTTATTTTTAAAGATTTAAGTAATCTCTACACCCAACGTGGGGCTCAAATTTACAACCCTAGATCAAGAGTTGAACGCTTGGGGTGCCTGGGTGGTCAGTCAGTTAAGCGTCCGACTTCGGCTCAGGTCATGATCTCACGGTTCGTGGGTTCGAGCCCTGCGTCAGGCTCTGTGCTGACGGCTAGCTCAGAGCCTGGAGCCTGCTTCGGGTTCTATGTCTCCCTCTCTCTCTGACCCTACCCTGCTCACGCTGTCTCTCTCTGTTTCTCAGAAATAAAATAAAACATTTTAAAAAATAGGAAAAAAAAAAGAGTTGAATGCTCTACCTACTGAGCCAGGTACCCCAATATCTAGTATATTTTAGAAAAAGACAAAAGGGTTCTGCCTAACCTCTTCTTACCACAATTGTGCAAGATTGCACAAGACAAGACCTTTAACAGATCAGTAAATAGACTTTCATGTTACCAATCTAAGCCACTCAGTTTTTGAGACTGCGATGCTGATATATTCCAAATTTGAATTAACAACCTTTAGGCATACTCTATCGGGCTCTATGCTGACAGCTCAGAGCCTGGAGCCTGTTTCAGATTCTGTCTTTCCCTCTTCTCTGCCCCTCCCTTGCTCACATTCTGTCTCTCTGTCTCTGTCTCTGTCTCTCTCTCTCAAAAATAAACGTTAAAAAAAAACGATGGGGTGGCTCAGTTGGTTGTGTCCAACTCATGTCATGATACCGCAGTTCGTGGGTTCAAGCCCTGCATCCGGCTCTGTGCTGACAGCTCAGAGCCTGAAGCCTGCTTCAGATTCTGTGTCTTCCTCCCTCTCTGCCCCTCCCCTGCTCATGCTCTGTATCTCCTTCTCTCTCAAAAATAAATAAACATTAAAAAAAATTTTTTTTTTTTAAAAAGAACCTTTAGGCATATTTGGTAGGAGTACTTATATGGTTATATCCTAGGAATATAGGTAACTTGAGTAAACCTATTTAATGTAACTTAGTCATTCTCCATAAAATAATGTAAAACCAAGGTAGGGAGTTTTTGTCATCTTTCTGTTCTCAGTACCTCTGCATGTATTCTGTTCTCTCTCATTCTCCATATATTTTCTCTGCCTAATGCTACTCACATTATCGCTACAGCTTGTATGGAAAGAAATCATTTCAGAGCACAGCCAGACTGCCATTGATCATATCACTCTCTATACCAAAAATCTAAACATGTCAAAGGCATGATTTTAGGTCTGTCATGCATCCATTACTTATATGTTGTCATAGCTCTCTTAGTGGAAGTAAAACAAAATAGTAATCTGCCATTCATTAGCAAGAATAGAGTCAAAATCAACTCTTGATTTCAGCTCAAATCATGATCTCAGGGTCGTGAGATTGAGCTCCATGTAGTGGAGCCTGCTTAAGATTCATTCATTCTCTCTCCCTCCCCCACCCCTTCTTCCTCTCTCTTCCCCTCCCTCTCTCCCCTTCTTCCTCTCTCTCTCCCTCCCTCTCTCCCCATCTCCCTCTCCCCTCTGCCCCATCTCTGCCTCCCTTCCTTCACCTTTCTCACTCGTACTTTCTCTCTCTCAAAAAAGAAAGAATTAAAAAGAATAGGCAGTGACCAGTTAGAAAGTTAGTACTGAAATTAGTGTCTTTTCCCTTCCCTCTTTCTTATTTTTCAGATATGGCTTCCCATTTCCCTCATATTGCTAGATCAATTCTGATAAATTTCCTCACAAATATATTGTGTACATTTGTCAGAAATTCAAAATATAAAACAATATTAATTTAAAAATAGAACCCCCAAGAAGTAATCACTCTAATGTGTATATCATTCTAGACCTCTTCCTCTATCTACATAATTCATCTGCAAAATTCTGCAGGGGCCCCCTGGGTGGCTCAGGTGGTTGAGTGTCCAACTTCAGGCTCAGGTCGTGATCTCACAGGTTTGTGAATTCAAGCCCCGTATTGGGCTCGCTGCTGTCAGCATGGAGCCTGCTTTCAGATCCTATGTCCTCTCTCTTCTGCTCTTGTTTGTGTTCTCTCTCTCTCTCTCTCTCAGAAATGACATTTTAATAAAATCTGCAGCCCTTTTTGAATTTCATATAAACCTACCTTATTTTTCATAAAATCTTTACAGCCATTCCTCTTGACATTTTAATTTTTGGTATTGTGAACATAAAGATTTTTTAGTATATATACTGTGTAATTTTCAAGGGAACACTTTAGTAAAAGGTGTTTGGATTTAAGTAGGTTGTGGGGGCAATAAATGATACACTTCTTACTTGCCAGAGTTCTGAACCAATGGACAAATAAGATAAAAATCAACTGGGTTAGTAATGCTACTTCTAGAGGCGCTTGGGTGTTTTAGTTGGTTAAATGTCCAACTCTTGATTTTGACTCCGGTCGTGATCTCACGTTTGTGAGATCAGCTCTGTGTTGAACATGGAGCCTGCTTGGGATTCTCTCTCCCTCTCTCTCTGCCCCTCCCTGGCTCATGCATGCATGTGCTTTCTCTCTCAAATAAACTTTATTTTTTTTTTAATGTTTTATTTATTTCTGAGAGAGAAAGAGGCAGAGTGAGCAGGGGAGGGTCAGAGAGAGAGGGAGACACAGAATCGGAAGCAGGCTTCAGGCTCTGAGCTGTCAGCACAGAGCCCGATGCAGGGTTTGAACCCACAAACCGTGAGTTCATGACCTGAGCCAAAGTCAGGCGCTTAACTGACTGAGCCATCCAGGAGCCCCTCAAATAAACTTTAAAGACAAATAAAGAAATGCTAGTTCTGTTACTGTTAAAAAGCATTTTGGGGCCACAACTTGAATGGGAACCAGAATGGGCTTGCTAACTCTTAACAGCCCTTCCCCTCCTAGTTTAGTCTATTCAAGGAAAGGCTTTGATCTGCAGAGTACATGGTATTTAATAGTTCCACTTATTAAAGAGTTAGATCCAAACGACTTTAATAGAATATAGTGTTCCCTTGAAATCTATTTTTTATTATGAATATATTGTCAAATTGGCTTATATGCAACACCCAGTGCACATCCCAATAAGTGCCCCCCTCAGTGCCCATCACCCACTTACCTCTCTCCCCTAGCCCCCATCCAACCTCAGTTCTCTGTATTTAAGAGTTTCTTGTGAGTTGCACCCCCCCCCCCTTTTATAACTGTTTTTCCCCTTCCCTTCCCCCATGGTCTTCCCTTGAAACTTAAAGATATCTTATGATGCCCTGGTGAGTTCACTGTATTGCCCCTGGACATTTGGGGAACTTTCAGCTAGCCAATACAAAATTTTAAGGCAAAAATAAACATTATCCCCATGGTTGCAGGTAATGATGCCTGCTATGCCTGGGCTTTATCCCTGTAATTTTGGTAAGTATAGAGTGAAACTTAGGCACTTATTCTTAAAGTCCCACACTTAATTATTCTTTATGATTTTTTTCCTATTCATTGAAAAAAGCTGTATGCTATTTTCATGTGTTTTTCTTAATAAGATTCATAGATAATAAAAATTATTTTAAGACTGGGCTTGTTATAATTTTGTTATTAATAGGGAAAAATGATCCTGAGTGTGACATTTGTGGTGGAGATCCAAGTAAGAAATGCCGTTCTTGCTCCTGTCATATATGTGGTGGGAAACAGGAGCCCAACATGCAGCTTCTATGTGATGAATGTAACATGGCCTATCATATTTACTGCCTGAATCCACCCTTGGATAAGGTCCCTGAAGAGGAATACTGGTATGATTATCAGGGTGTTTTTATTACTGTGTTAAGAATTGAATGTGAAATATGTATTTAGACCACAAAAAGAAGATTTCTGAAGATATGTAATGTGTATTAAAGCACTTAAAATTGTATATAGCCAGTGGTTTCTTGGCATTGATAACTTTGGTTATTATCACAGCTTGTGAGCTGATCTCTAGCTGTTTTTAATCCTTGCAATTCTTCCTCTAATATGGAGTTTATGTTCTTTCAAAAATGCAGATCTGGTTGTGTTAACTCCTTTGCTTCTCAGGTTTTATGTTGCTCTGCAAGGCCTTGCACAATATTTTTTAAGTTGATTTCTCCAGGTGTATTTCTTACCATTTTCCTCTTCATTTTCCCAAATACTCTGCACTAGAGTATAGATTAAAGATCTTTCAGCTCCTTAAGTGAGTCAAGTTCTTTCTCTCCTTTGGGTTTTTACACTTGACACATTTTCTCTTTGAAATCTATTCCTCTTTGCTTAACTTCAGGATATTTATCCTTCAGGTTTTTGCTTTACTATGACTTCATCTGGGAAACCATTGTGGGTGGCCTCTCTATTCCCCAGCTATTTTAGATGTGCCTATAATAGTACTTAATAGTTATTTAAGTGCTTAATATATGCTAGACACTAACGAAGTGTTTTACATGGATTATTGAATTTAATCCTACGAGGTTAATAAGTGGAACCAGGCACTAAGGTTAAATATACCAGCCAAAATCTATGCTACTTCTATTAAGTAGTCTTAGCTACAGAATGAACTCATTAGAAAAGAGACTGGGAAGAACATGTTCAAAGTAATAATGAACTTTTTCATGTCATAATGTTTTTTCTTCTTAAGCTATGGATTGTTGCTGGCATGGAGGGATAAATTAAGGAATGACATACTCAGAAGTACAGGCATACCTCAGAGATAGTACAGGCTCTAGACCACTGTGGTAAAGTAAATATCACAATAAGGCAAATCTGATGAATTTTTTGTTTCTCAGTGCATATAAAAGTTATGTTTACACACGAGATTGTAGTCTGCTAAGTGTGCAAAAATACTTTATTCCAAAAAATGCTAGCTGTTGTCTGAGTTTTCAGTAGGTCTTAATTACTGATTACAGATCACCCTGACAACATAATAACATTGAAAAAGTTTGAAATAGTGTGAGAATTACCCAAATGTGACAGATGTGAGCAGATGCTGTTCAAAAAATCAGACTTGCTCGATGGAGTGTTGCCACAAACCTTGAATTTGTAAAAAACAAAAAACCACACGGTATCTGTGAAGTGCTATAAAATGAAGTGTGCTTGTAATAAAATTACAATTGGGTAGCTTCTGTTACTGTAAAGAATAGATTATTTTACTTCTCTCTGGCCTCTCCCCATCTGTTGGGAGGGTTATTGCATTACCACAGAGACTGTACGAGTGGGTGGTGGGAAGGAATGTAACTTCTTCCTTTCACCCCCTACCTCTGCCTTGAATGGTCACAGCCTGAATATTACCATCTATAAACATAGTTGTATTGCCTCTAAAGTCTCATATATTTTTCTTCCCTTTTGTTTCTGTGGACAGTATGTTCCTGCTTCTCTAAAATGCAAACTCTTCTACCTGCTCTTACAGTTCCGTATCCCTTTGCCTTTTCAGGAACTTCATTCCTACAGTGAGTTCCTCTTCCAGATTGCCATTGGTGGGTCATTCTCAGTCCCTAGAATCTATTCAGTCACACACACACACACACACACACACCCTTCCCTTGATCCCAGTTTTTTGCTTCCTTTATGGCAATTCTCAAGAACTGCCTGCATTGACAATTTCCATTTCCTCTCCTGTTCTTCAGCTCTGCATTTGAACTTCCTTCTCATAACTCCACTATATTTGTGTAAGTTAGGCTCACAGATACATTCTATGCTGCCACATTGGTAACTTCTAAGCCCTCTCCTTACTTGTACTTATCAGCTCTCTGTCTTTATAAAGATTTTATGATACCATATGGTCTAATTTTCATCCTACTTCACTGGCCTTCCCTTCTTAATCTCTTGTTGGTTTTCTTATATCTACCAGATTTTGGAGTTTTCCGAAGCATATTCACTTGCTCTTTGTTCTTCGTGCTTGCTCCCTAGATAATCTCATCCAATCATGAGATTTTAAATACGAAGCTAATGGTTCCAAATTTTTAATATCTTCATAGCTAATCTTCCTTGGGCTCTATTTTCCTGTATTCATTCAACTGCTTGCTTGATCAGTATCACAAAAGTAGTCCAGCTGGAGATCTTGATTTCCATAAACCAAAAACCGTGCTCCTCCCTGAGTCTTTAGTAAATTACTACAGTCATCCTATCTGCTTGTTCAGGCTTAAAAGCTAAACTTCATCTTTGATTCCCTCTGCCCTCTTCCATCCAATAATACATGAGCAGGTCTTGTCAGTCCTGCATAATCTTTCTCCATTCTCACCCTTCGGTCCAAACCAACATCTCTTCCCTGAACTGTGTAATAAATACCCAACTTGTGTCCTTGCTTTCACATTGCTTACCAGCTATCCTTTCTCCTATAGCAGCAGAATGATCTTACTAAGTTGAAATCTGTTCGAAACCCCCTAGTGTCTTCCTATTGTACTAAGAATAAAACTAAGCCCATGCCATCGATGATCTGGCCCCTGCTTGCTCTATAACATTATTGCTTATCTCTGTGCAGTGCAGTTTGCCTGAACTTCAGGTTCGCCAACCTTTACATTTTTCAAGGCATACCACTCCTTATGCCTCAGGACTTTTGTACTTAATGTCTTTTTGCACAGAATGCCTTCATAAGACCAACTCCTTTAGCCTCAGCTGGAGTATCACCTCAGAAACTATCTAAAGGCACATACCATTTTTAATCAGTCTTAACACCCATATAACCCTGATATATTTCCTTTTTAGAACTTGCTACTTCCTGAAATTGTTGCATTGTATGTACTAGTTTCCCTTAACTACTTTGTACAAATATTTTGAGCACATTTATATATCCAGCACCAAAATAGTCCCTGGCGTATAGAAGCTTCTGAACAAATGTGCTGAAGGAATGAAGGTTTGACCACCTTTTCTCTTCTCCAAATCATCTGCTTTGCATATTATGCCTCTGAACTCATTTTTCTCATAAGAAATAGTACCTGCTTTGCCCCTAAGATCTCTGATAAAATTATAATTTTAAAAGTTAGCATGTCAGGTAAAATTAATTTTTGGAAGCCTCCTGATTTCTCAATTAGAAGGGATTCTACTTGGTACTATCTATTGCCTTCTACATTTTAATTTTTACCTTGATTTTGCATCTGTATAACACAACTTAACTGATTTTTCAGAATCAGTGACTGACTTACATTTTTCTTGCCTGTAGTACCAAAAAAGATATCTCATAATTAGGCAATCAGAATTAACTGGGTGGGCATGGGTGACTTTTTTGCTCTATAGACCATATGCAGTAGATAATTATGAAATGGAAAGTATAGGCACATTTAAGATTAATTAATAGAGGGAGAGGCCAGTTGATCTTTGTTAGGAAATTCCTCAAATTTCCATTCCTTGCTGTCATAGGAATAGCCCCATCTGATTCTATAGACATAGTTATTCATACTTTGCTCTTTGAAATTATTTAAGGTAGCATATAATGACATAAATGTTACAGTAGGATAACCAACTACAAATAGGCTAAAGAACAAACAAGTATAGGGAATTAAAAAGAGCTAAGGATAAGACTAATATATAAACAAGCATCCTTGAATCTTCTATATTTGCTGTAATAGACTATACATTTTTGACTTGGAAAGTTCTGATAATTTAGATGGGGAGATGTATCAGTTGCATAGTTGAGCAGTCTAGGATTATCTGTTCTTGCTACTTCCGTTTTAATAATAGGAACTTCACACGAATAAATTCCACTGTCCAGGTTAGTGATAAGATCAGAGTGCATGGTGCCATTTCAATTGGACAGCTCTGTCTGACTTTTGAACTGAATTTGAGATTTTTATGATATTATAATCTTTCACGTTCTTTAAAGGAATGATAAGATTTTTTTTTCCTGCTAGCTTAACCGTATAAATACTTTGAAAAGTTTAATACTAAAATGCCAGCTGAACGTCTATATTATACACCAAGTATTAAATCTTAAAATATTTTCTGACCCAGAAAGACCATTCTGTTACTGGCTTTAATATGGTGTATTAAATTCCTTTTTCTTTTAAAGGTATTGTCCTTCCTGTAAAACTGATTCCAGTGAAGTTGTAAAGGCTGGTGAAAAACTCAAGATGAGTAAAAAGAAAGCAAAGATGCCATCAGCCAGTACTGAAAGCCGGAGAGACTGGGGCAGGGTAAAGAAGAAAGTCTTCTTTCCTTCCTAGCTATAATGTTTTAACTGTAATGCAGGTTATAACATTTTGATACCAATAGTAGTAGTGATGTAAATTATATTTTCTGTATCAGAAATATTAACAAATAACTGTATTGTTTAATTATATAAATTGTTAAGTTGCTGTAACTTATTTGTTAATTAAATCACATAAATTATATGTTAATCATACAGTTAGGTTTCTGTTCTCATTTTATTTGACTTTAAGATTTGGCTTTAAGGTTTGACATAACCGATTTCTCAAACAACTTATTCTATAACTTGTAGGGAATGGCCTGTGTTGGTCGCACTAGAGAATGTACTATTGTTCCTTCTAATCATTATGGACCTATCCCTGGGATTCCTGTTGGGTCAACATGGAGATTTAGAGTTCAGGTATGTTTTAATTTGGCTTTGTTGAAAGGGTAAAGTTAGATATAGTTAAAATTGTAGCAATGTCAATATCTATTGATTATAAGTGGGCTAATCTAGGTTGTGTCACAGGACAGTTGTTAGAATGAAAGATTCTCTCTCTATAGGATGAGTACACTTTTCCACATAGCTTAACAGGCCCATACATCATGGAATTAGGTGTCAGCTATGCTTTTTTATCATTTTTACTGTCCTGTTCTAGATAAGATTGTTAACATTATTGTTAAGCTTTCTAGAGAAATTTTCTTGCTGAGAACGTAATATTTGAAATATTAAGGGTTTTTTTCTTTAAAAATTGTTGTAAGTTCTCATTTAATGTCATTGAAGTCCAAGAAAACTCACTCTGGGCATTTTGTTTGTGGCTTATCCTCCAAAATGAATGTTAAGTTGTTGGTCAGAGAAAATGCCAGATGATCCAATGATAAAATTACTTGTTTCTTTTCCTGTTGAAGAAGGCTCTATTGTATTCATTTCTAATTTCTTTATTAAGAAGGTAATTTTATCATTATAGAGATTTTAAAAGTTTTTCATCCTCATTTTCTGTTTCTCAGGTACCACCGCTTTAAAGTTTTAGCTATTTCTTCTAGATTGACCTCCTTCTTTCTAAGTTGCATGTTAATACTTCTTTCGTCTTTATAGTTTAGTTATATTAACTTCTTTCTATGGTAGATGAGCATTAAGTTTAACATACTCTGTGTCTTCCCATCTTTGCAATGGTTATATTGCAATTTTGGCTAAATCTGTATGCATGTTTTATAGTATGACTTATATCTTTAAATACAGTAAAAAATACTATAAACAAATACAGTATAATATTATAAATACAATAAAAAGTACACTTAGCATATTTTTAATTGCCTTGGATTTTTGTTTGCTTCATTCTTTTTTTTTATACCTGTCGCTAATTCATTCCCAAACTTTAAAAGCCCTCATTAATACTGTCTCAGATGAGTTTGAGGTTGTTGGCCTGAGCAGCTAGAAGGATAGATTTGCCATTTGCCATTTGCCATTTAGGAAGTGGGGAAGAATCAGAAGAGATTTATTGTCATCAGAATTGGTGACGTTGAGAATCAAGTGGTCCCATCTTCTGAAGTACCTGGTGTTTTCAAGGCCTACACTCAGGTTCTGATGCTTTTATTAGCTTCTCACTGGCTTCTAATATGTGTCTTTCCCTACCCCACTGTGCAGGCTTGGATTTTAGCTTTTTCTCTGCTAAGAACAATTACATGATAAATAAGTGATTTATAATACTTCTCCCAGGGAATTTGAAGAACACAAAGTGATGCTGTTTTAGTGAGCCAAAATTGAAGATCTGTGAAGAGAAGCAGTAGGCCATTGAAGTAGTAGAATAGCATGATTAAACTAACAAATTGGGTAGCATGTTTGGGTAACATTGAGTAGTTTTAGCTTAAACATGTGCTCTATGAAGGAGAAGCTAAGAATTAAGACTGGGAACCTGCAGAAGAATGAACCTGGACCACTTTCTTATGCCACACACAACATAAATTCCTAACGGATGAAAGACCTAAATGTGAGACAGTAAACCACCAAAATCCTAGAGGAGAAAATGCAGCAACCTCTTTGACCTTGGCCACAGCTACTTCTTACTTGACATGTCTCTGGGAGCAAGGGAAATAAAAGCAAAAATGAACTATTGAGGCGTCATCAAGAAAAAAAGCTTCTGCACAGCAAAGTAAACAATCAACAAAACTAAAAGGAAACCAACAGAATGGGGGAAGATATTTGCAAATTTCATAGGATGAAGGGTTAGTATCCAAAGTCTGTGAAGAACTTACCAAATTCAATATCCAAAAAATAATAATCCAGTGAAGAATTGGGCAGAGGACATGAATAGACAATTTTCAAAAGAAGACATCCAGATGGCTACCAGGCATGTGAAAAGATGCTCAACATCACTCATTATCAGGGAAATACAAATCAAAAGCACATTGAGATACTACCTCATACCAGTCAGAGTGGCTAAATTTAACAACTCAGACAACAACAGATGTTGATGAGGATGTAGAGAAAGGGGAACCTTCTTGCAGAGTTGGTTGGAATGAAACTATTGTGATCACTCTGGAAAACAGTATGGAGATTCCTCAAAAAATGAAAAAAAGAAGCACCCTATGACCCAGCAATAGCACTACTAGGAATTTATCCGGAGGATACAGGAGTGCTGATTCATAGGGGCACATGTACCCCAATGTTTATAACAGTGCTATCAACAATAGTCAAATTTTGGAAAGAGCCCGAATTAATTGATGAATGGCTTTTATATATATATATATGTGTGTGTGTGTGTGTGTGTGTGTGTGTATAAAATATATATAATATACACATACATACACAATAGAATACTACTCAGTAATGAAAAAGAATGAAATCTTGTCATTTGCAACAATGTGGATGGAAATGGAGGGTATTATGCTAAGTGAAATAAGTCAGTCAGAAAAAGATACCATATGTTTTCACTCATGTGGAATTTGAGAAACAGAAGGAAATAGGGGAAGGAAAGGAAAAATAAGTTACAGAGATAGAGGCAAGCCATAAAAGACTCTTCAATACAGAGAACAAACTGAGGGTTGATGTGGGTGGGGGGTTAGAGGGGGCAGGAAAAATGGGAGATGGGCATTGAGGAGGGCGCTTGCTGCAGTGAGCACTGAGTGTTGTATGTTAAGTGATCAATCATGGGAATCTAATCCTGAAGCCGAGACTACACTATATACACTGTTAGGTAACAGGACAATAAGTTATTAAAAAAAAAAAAAAGTTAAGGCTGGGAAAAGTAGATAGGAGCCAGATTGAGAGAAAGTAATGTATAATACTTAAATTTGGGCTTGATATACAGTAAGACCATTTAATATATTTTAAGCAGTTGAATATTAAAAGCAGATTTGTTCTTAAAAGTATTTTTCTGTTTGTGATGGGTAGAATGGGGTTTGAGGGGAAGAAACTGGAGGCAGTGAAAAAGGGGGGTTTCATAGCATTCATGGCTCAAACTAAGATTATAACAGAAGTAGAAAAATAATTGATTTAGGAGATTGAATCAGCAGAATTTGTTACCAAATGGGTTTGAAGAATAGAGAAGAATGATGCTAAATGATGCTTTTGTCTTTCTGATGTGGCTAGGGAGCAGTACCATGATTAAAGACAAGAAATAAGAAGGGATCTGGGCCACTGATAGAAAATTCTATTTTACCCAAGTTGAGCTAGAATGATTGGTAGACATAAAATGATGATTATTTAATCATTATTTTGGAACTCGGAATTCCAGATCTGAGCAGTGTTAAGAGTCATCAGCTTAGTACCTAAGGGATATATAGTTGGGAAGCAGTAAAGTCAGTGAGCAAAGATTAAACTCTGGGTAGCATTCAGTTCTTAGTTGGAGGGTTTTAGGATCCAATAATATATGTGAAAGCATTTTGTAAACATAACTGTTCAAAGGTATTTTGAGACTCTCTTTATTTCATAGGTGAGCGAAGCAGGTGTCCATAGGCCCCATGTTGGTGGAATTCATGGTCGAAGTAATGATGGGGCTTATTCTCTTGTCCTCGCTGGTGGATTTGCAGATGAAGTAGTAAGTCTTGATACAACTTTGTTCTTTAGAACTGGTCTTAATCATTTAGTAAAGTACAGAAGTTTTGTGTAGGATGTATAAAACATCTTAACATAGTTTTTATGTTGAAGTGGTCACTTCTATACAAGTTACAAGAAAAATCAATTGGCAGTCTTTAATCTTTACAAGTACTGATTTATGTATACATGTGGTCGCTGATTATTGCAACAAAAACATTCTTTATGAGCTAATTTTTTTTATTAAACTTTTTATTTTGGGATATTGCAGACTGACATGTAGCATTAGAAATACTACAGAGATCTCTGTGCTCTTTATGCATTTTCCTCCCAATGGTAACATCTTGCAAAACTATAGTACAGTATCACAACCAGGATGTTGACATATTGATACATTCAGGTCACTGAACATTTCCCTTAACCACAAGTATCCTTCATTTTGCCCTTTGATAACCACACATACTGTATCTACTCTCCCTCAACCTATCCCTAACTCCTGACAACCACTAATCTGTTCTCCATTTCTATAATTTTGTTGCTTCAGAGATTTTTATAATTGGAGGCACCTGGGTGGCTCAGTCCATTATGTGTCTGACTCTTGATTTTGGCTCAGGTTATGCTCTCACAGCCATGAGATTGGGCTCCTCACTGGTCATGGAGCCTGATTAAGATTCTTTCTCATTCTCCCTCTAGTCCTCCCCCATTTACATACTCTCTCACTTTCTCTCAAAAAAATAAATAAAAGGGGTGCCTGGGTGGCTCAGTCGGTTAAGCATCTGACTTCAGCTCAGGTCATGATCTCACAGTTCATGGGTTTGAGCCCCGCATCAGTCTCTGTGCTGACAGCTAGCTCAGAGCCTGAAGCCTGCTTCAGATTCTGTTATCTCCTTCTCTCTCTGACCCTCCCCTGCCCATGCTGTCTCTCTCTCTCTCTCTCTCTCAAAAATAAATAAAACATTAAATGAATAAATAACAATATTTATGAGTGGAATCATACAGTATGTGACCTTTGGGAATGGCACTTTTCACCCAGCATATTTATCAAATTGTAGCTTGTATTAATAGTTTATTCCTTTTTTTAATACTGAGTAGTATTCCATGATATAGGTATACCACAGTTTGTTTGACCATTCACTCGTTGAAGAACATTGAGGTTATTGTAGTTTCTGACTTTACAAATAACTGTGATAAATGTTTGAGTGCAAGTTTTTATTGTTGTTGTTGTTGTTTATAAATGTAAGTCTTCATTTTCTCTGTGATAAATGCCCGGAGGTACACTGTGGGTTATATGGTAGTTGAACATTTAGTTTTTTAGGAAGCTGCCAAATTGTTTTCCAGAGGGACTGTACCACTTTACGTTCCTACTCTCAGTGTGTAAGTGATTCAGTTTCTCTGCATTCTTGCCAGCATTCAGTGTTGTTGTTTTATTTTACTTTAGCCATTCTGATAGATATGTAGTGAGATCTCATTGTGGTTTTAGTTGACAATTCTCAAATGACTGATGATGTGAGGCATGATTTATTTGCTTTTTTGCTGTGTGTATAGCCTCTTTAGTGGTATATCTTCAGGTATATCCATTTTCTAATTGGATCATGTTTGGTTTGCTGTTCATTGAATATATACTTTGCATGTATTTTCTCCTATTCTGATTCATTGGTTTGTTTTCATGGTATATTATAATGATGAAGTAGAGTAGCTGTGGAGAAGCCAAGATGTAGTATGCTGTCAGACAGAGGTAGAAAAGTTTGCCATTTTTCTGACTGGCAGGTTTGGCAGTACATTTGCATTAGCATGGCAAAGGAAATTGAAAATGGAAACATGCAGGGGTGCCTGGTTTGCTCAGTCGGTTAAGCTGCCGACTTCGGCTCAGGTCATGATCTCACGGTCTTTGGGTTCGAGCCCTGCATTGGGCTCTGTGCTGACAGCTAGCTCAGAGCCTGGAGCCTGTTTCAGATTCTGTGTCTCCCTCTCTCTCTACCCCTCCCCTGCTCACACTGTCTCTCTCTGTCTCAAAAATAAATAAATGTTAAAAAAATAAGTAAAAGAAAAGAAAATGGAAATATGCAGGTTAATCTTTTGAGTACTTCTTTAACATGAATATTTTGAAGCTGTATTTTTCAGAAATACAAAGGGTGTTGTATAGTTTTAGACAGTTGGCACTTAATTTATTTTAAGGCTCTGTAAGAAAACAAGCCAACTAAGAATAGAAACTCTGTAACATGTTTTTAGCATGGACCCAGTTGTGCTTAATCTGGAATTTCACATTTGTGTATGAGATCTTTGCCTAATTATTTATGTAATCTTGGCATGAACAGGGATTCAGACAGTTGTATTGTCTATAGCAGAAGCTTATCTTAACTATATGAAACATAAACATGTAGGGTTGAAAATGAGTACCAAATTGAATTCAGGTGGGTATTATTCCCTTTCTCCCTATCTTTTGAGTATCATTACCAGTCAAACATTAAACATTTGTAGAGAAAAGTACTGGTGAGCTCTTAATTATATGTCGTAAGCAGTTAAGGAATGTTAACTAATATAAAGAATAATTTATTTTAAGGCTAAAACACATAGGCTTAGGTCACCAGCTAAGATGTATCTGGAGATGTTAATATATTTTATAAGCATTTTCAATCATTTGATCTTTTATCATAGGCAGATCATATCTACAGAAATAGGTGGAGGAAACCTGAATAAGCTTTGTTGTTGTTGTTGTTGTTTTTGAGAAAAGATTTTGTTTTGAAACTTTTAATTTAGTGTAACATCCATGGAACCAATGATCTTTGTTCTGTCCAGATGAATGGACATGAAACTACTGAATACCTGTTGATAAACTGGTTAATATTTTAGCCTAGTAATTTGACATCAAATGCTAGTTTTAGTGCCCTTTGTTAGGGTGACCTCACTTGAGGAATGAGGACCCACAAAGATGGTTTGCATTTTACATTTGTCTTGAGAAGTAGTTTGCTCAGTGATAGGAACAGATTCTGGAACTAAACTCTTAAGGTTTGTGTTGTAGTGCCATCTCTTACTAGCAAGTGACCTTAGGGAAGTTAATGAAGCCTCATCTATAAAATAAGGCTTTATGATACTTTACATCACAGGGTTGATGTGAGGTTTAAAAGAATCCATGTAAAATGCTTAGCCTAACTTCACACACACACGCGCACACACACAAAGTACTAGGTGTTACCAGCAATAGTGGTAGTACCTAGTTTTACAAACATGTAAGGGGTATTATGAGAGAGAAATTGGCATAAATTGCAGGTGTATTCTAGATAGCCTTGCATTAAGGAATCATCAAAGGTGACTGAGAAAAGTTTAATGATCTTAACTATGCTTTAGCATATTTATCTGATAGTCTTTGGGAAGGGGAGCCGTTGAGAAGATGGAGACAAAGGCCTTTTGCTCGATAAAGGTGATGACAAGAATGGGAACATCCAGCTTATTGTGTTAGGCAGCTTCTTTACAACTTGAAATGAGTAGAGACTGGGAAATTGAGTCAGTCTGGGGCAGTAGTATGTCCCCTGTATAAATGATGGCTTCTTATGTGAGGGGTTCCCAGACAGCAGTCTTCTTTAGGCTACTGCCTCACAGGGGTACGACTTTGTGGAGCATGGACTTTAGGATGTAATAAATTTGGGCTGGTCATTTTTCCTTAGGAAAATTAGTCTGAACTAATACTGACTGAGCTTTGACAGTCTAACAATTCTTTTTTCCCCCCAATGACAATTAAAGTTTCTATTGGTGTGACGATTGAAGTATGGATGAATTAGGGCACCTGGGTGGCTCAGTCGGTTAAGTGAAGTATGGATGATTTAATGACATAGAATACAATATGAAATAGAATAACTATTGTTACTTATTTGCTACTTGAAGAATAATCAGAAATGTTTTTGTTCTTTTGTTTTAAACAGTACTGAGCTTAGGTTGCCCCTATAATGCTCTCTTTGTCCCCACTACCTTTTCCTTTATAGTACTGCCACAATTTTAACTTTAAAAGTTGGCAGAGTTGGGGCGACTGGGTGGCTCAGTCATTTCAGCATCTGACTCCTGATTTTGGCTCAGGTCATGATCTCACAATTCATGAGTTTGAACTCCCAATCAGCTCTACACTAACAGTGCACTAACAGTGCAGAGCCTGCTTGAATTCTCTCTCTCTCTCTCTCTCTCTCCCCCGCCCCCCGTGCCCCTGCTCATGCTCTCTCTCTCTCAAAATAAATAAATAAAACTTTAAAAAAATGGTGACAGGGTTATGAATATGAGCATGGTGAAGTCAATCCAGATACCATTTGGAAGACTGTTTCTGACAAATTTAAGAAGTGTTCTGGATTGCTTTAGATGTAGTTATTAGACTTCCTTCAAATGAAATACACATTAAAGATGAAATTCCTAATGCCTTAGTCTTTAAGATATAGTCCTCAGTATTGGATCAACAAAAAGTGAAGTCAAGGTTTTTAGACCGATAAAAACACTTGTTAAGACCATGAGATTTTGGGGGCACCTGGGTGGTTCAGTTAAGCATCTGACTTCAGCTCAAGTCATGATCTCACAGTTCACAAGTTCGAGTCCCAAGTAGGGTTCTGTGCTGACAGCTCAGAGCCTAGAGCCTGCTTCAGATTCTGTGCCTTCCTCTCTCTCTGCCCCTCCCCACTCAATGCTCTCTTTCTCTCCATCTCTCAAAAATGAATAAACGTTAAAAATTTTTTTAAAAAAACACATGAGATTTTAGTTATAACTTTATCCAAAGGAAAAACAAGATGCAAAATAACTGACCTTTATTACAGACAAGGATTTAATAGAGAAAACTTCATTATCTTAAGTTCAGTCTAAACTAATTAAAATCTTGCAATAAAGAAGTAAGTAACACTGTTGGGTGGGGGAATGGGCAAGATGGGTGAAGAAGAGTGTGAGATACAATCTTCTAGTTATGGAATTACTAAGTCATGAGAATATAAGACACAGCATAAAGGATATAGTCAGTTGTTATATTAGCATTATATGGTGCTAGATGGTAGCTACACTTGTGGTGAACGTAGCATAATGCGTAAACTTGCTGAATCACTGTGTTGTACACCTGAGACTAATGTTATATTTTGTGTCAACTATAACAGTAATAAAAGAATCACTATTTTGATAGTGCTAGCAGAATTAATTTGTATACTGATGCTCTTCTTAGTTGATTATGAGTTTCTGTTTCAGACAGAAACAGTAATATCAGTATAAATTTGTAGCTATTACAGACATATTTGTGGAGCTAGTTTACATAACATCTACTTTGCCATGTTTTTTCTCATATTTACTAGATACTTTATATAAATTTTAGTTTTCAAATTCTTTTCCAGTGTTCTTTTTAAGGCTAGTTAAAAATGTTTTATCTGAGGGGTGCCTGGGTGGCTCAGTTGGTTAAGCATCCGACTTCCGCTCAGGTCATGATCTCACAGTTTGTGGGTTCTAAGCCTGTATCAGGCTCTGTGCTGACAGCTATCTCAGATCCTGGAGACTGCTTCAGATTCTGTATCTCCCTCTCTCTCTCTGACCCTCCTCTGCTCATGCTGTCTGTCTGTCTGTCTGTCTCTCTCTCTCTCTCTCTCTCTCTCTCTCTCAGAAACAAATTTAAAAAATTTTTTTTAAATTTTTTTAAAAAATGTTTTATCTGAGTGTAATTTGAGTGAACTTGTACAGTGTGAAATGTGGGGAATTTACTATTTTGTAAGGATTTTAATTTTGAAATTTAACAGCAAACTTGGGTATAACATAGATTGCTGATGGGAAATCAGATATGGAGTATTTACTAAAATGGTATTCTATAAAAACCTACAAGCTAAAATTGATGTTTATTTTAATACCATTGAATTAAATTAAATAATATTCCCAGTCCATAAGACCTTATTTTCTAACATTCTTTTTTTTTTTTTTTTAATGTTTGTTTATTTTTGAGAGAAAGACAGAACCAAAATAGGAGAAGGGCAGAGAGAGAGGAAGACACAGAATCCAAAGCAGGCTACAGGCTCTGAGCTGTCAGCACAGAGCCCAATGCGGGACTCAAACTCAGGAACTGCAAGATCACGACCTGAGCCAAAGTCAGCCACTTAACTGAGCCACCCAGATGCCTCTGTTTTGTAACATTATATAGATTATTGGATTCTATATATAGGATGAGAATAGCCATATTTAGAAGTGTTGGAAGCTATAACTTTAAAATGATCCTCTTGATATAACTTGAAGGTATACTACATACACAACTGCATTTGAATTTTGCCTTATTTTGGTATATACCTTGAGAGAACATGTAAATTCATAACATCCTAACCAAGTGCTCTGACTGTAAAACAAGAATTGGTGAAATTATACTTGGGCTTAGGTATTTTAATGCTGAAATTTTTTCCTGTAGGACCGAGGTGATGAATTCACATACACTGGGAGTGGTGGTAAAAATCTTGCTGGTAATAAAAGAATTGGTGCACCATCGGCTGATCAAACATTAACAAACATGAACAGGTATTCTTTATTGTTAGAGTTTCTAAAGACTATTTATTTCAGCTTTGTATAAAAGTTTGATTATAGTAATATAATTCGTAAGTTATTCTGTAGAGCAGAATCTTTAATTTAAAGTTAAAGATCTAAAATTGATATCCATTATCTGATTACATAATCATTTAAAAGTATTGTAACTGATTTCTTTTTATTTTTTAAATAACATAGTTCCCAGTTTTAATACACGTGGTTTACGTTTTAAAACACGTTTAAACCTTTATAGGAAGGGAACCTATATAAGTGAAATTGAGAACAAGGTGGCTTATCTACTAAATCAAAGTTATGTTTAAGTGAACACAGATTTGTCTTGTAAAGTAACAAACTTCTTTTTAGAGGAAACTCACCAATGTGAAGTAGGTTTGAGATTGGGAGCCCACCTTTGTGGTCATAAGTGAAACATCAGATAAACTTAAAACTACACTCAAGGTCCTTTTATTTAGGACTTATAATGTCTTTTAAGTGTTAGAATGTTTAGTTATAAAAGTGACCTTTTCTTTTCATAAAGATATTACAAAATGCTTTCATAAAGCATTACAAAAGAGCCACCTTATGCTAACTTTTATTCTATAGTATTAATGATATGCCAGCTTCCATGGGAACAGAAAACTTAATGACTTCAAAATGTTTTATTTCATAAATGCATGCTGATAGCAATAATAAAGTGACCCAAATCATCAGATAGCAGCAACCACATTATAACTTGTCCTACTGATAATTTTTTGATCAACTTCATAAAGTTGAAACTTTTATATCCTGTTGTTAAGAGTGTTTTATGGATTATTGAGTAAAAATGAGTTTTTTTCTTTGAGTCTAAATCACTTGGTTTTAAGTAGTGTGCCCTTAATTTCTGATTACCATGTGAAGTAAAAAATATACCAATATGATTTCAAGAATATGTTGCATACCAAATTATATAGTCTGTTTGTATGTCTTCCTTCTCTATTATTTCTGACAGTAGGATTATTTAACTGAACCAGCAGAGGAGACAGGTCAGATTTGCTGGTGAAAACATTCCTGAAGCAGGAGTCCAGTCCCTAGTTAGTCTTTTTCTAGTGAGAAAGCAGCTCTTCAGGAGGACTGACCTTAAAAGGAGTTAGAGATATTTTAATATGTTTTTGTCAGTGAAAGTATATCTTGAATTTGCAAAAGGGCTTTTTCAAGTCGTCAAATTTGAAGATTATATTTACCCTTTGATAATAATAGATTATTTTGCTTGAATGAAATTTGTTTCCTAACTACCTGCACTTGTAATGTAAATGGTAAATATTTTTCAAGCTTTAAAGAATCTAATTAAGTATAGCCCTGTTTACCATTATGTTATAATCTCATTAGAAAATAAATGACAAGTTGTAAAAATGTTTGTATTTAAGAGAAGGTAGTAGAAATAAAATACTGACTCAAAACAATTTAGGATTGACTTACCATAGGGACTCTGACATCCATTCAGTTAATTTATACATTAAGTTTTGAGTACACATTGTGATTATAAATACCTCTTGAGCAAAGATATGTATATGCTTCATAAACATGAAAACTGAGGTCAAAGACTCTTAGCTCTTACACTCTTTCCTGACTGGTGTATGGTCCTGTTTATTTTTCCTTTTCCACTAAGAGGGAGTTTGACACTTGTTTCTTGCTTTGAGAAGTTTGTTCCTGTTCTCAGCTCTTTCACTTTATGAAATTGAAGAGGGCAGCAAGGTGTCCTGGCCTTCCTTTATTAGGGCAGTTAGAAGCAACTGATTGAACTGCAGAGTAATGGTAAAGCCTTGTTTTGCCTAGTTTGATCTTCTTGGATTCCTTTCACATAGTTGAACAACCTACATACTTAATGTGAAACTAGGAGTGAATTATTGATGCCAGTTAGTGGTAGCAGTCATTCTGACTAAAGGTCTTTGTAAGTACCAAATCATTCTGTTCATTAATGTGAAAATAGTACATATTCTTTTCCTAGCTCTTTAAGAAGATGAAATATGTATATCTCAATAGGTATTCCATAAATAAGATATAATACTAACCCTAGAAGGTTGGCTACATTTTCTTCTACCTCCCAGAGATTTAATGTATCTCCCTTTGAGATAAAAAGACATAACTTGGTAAACTTTAACTATTTGACCACATTTATGAAATTTTTTTTTAACAAAACACTTTATTTACTTTAACAGTATAACTGTGATGAAGAGATTTGGATAGATTAGACATTTTATTTTAAGGTCAGTTTCATTTGTAGCTGCATAAAAAGAATTATACCCTGAAAAGGTATTTTGTATCAGATCTGAATTTACCAAATTGTGTGTGTGTGTGTGTATGTGTGTGTGTGTGTGTGTGTGTTTAACCTTACATGTTCTCAGTGGTTTCTTGTCACTTAAGTTAGGAAGTAGGTATCTCAGGGGAAGAATACTAATTTTAAGTAGTTTCTGGTTTGGTGGGGCTTTTGGAGTTTTTTTGTTTGTTTGGTTTTTTTTTTTTTGTTGTTTTTGTTTTTTTGGCAGGACTAAGTTCTCCCAAGAAAGGTCTTCTAACATAACCTTATTGATTAATTACTACTAAGTGAGTACACATACTAAGGAAGCTTCAACTAAATCAGGTGCTGCTTCTCACTCAGTGTTCCTCCTTGTTCACGTGTCATCATAAAAATAGTGATCTGGAGGAGCCAAAAACCTTTATTGTCCTGATTTAGTGCAGGCATTTGATTGCTTCAGTTTTACTTAAACTTACATTTTTATTGGAATATTTAAGCGATAATTTCATATTAAATTTGTTCTTTAATAACTTCTAAACATTAAGGAATCTCTATTGTCTGGAATGTGGAAAGTAGACCTAGAAAGGTCACTTGTACCTTGCTGACAAATATATTTTTCTGGATTTCTTTCTACATTATTCCAGCAATATACCTCACTCCCTCCCTTATCAAAAATAACTACTACAACAATCACTTGCTTTAGTGTCCAGCTTTCTCCCTTCCCTCAGCAAACCGTTATTTTAAAAAAAAAAATTCCATGTATTTCTAGTTGTTTTCTATTATACGTGGCACAGATGTTATTACTTTCAGAAGAACCCTACAGGCTATCTGAGAACCAATCCCCTGGCTTGGGGGTGACATCAGAAAACTGATTTGTCTTCTCTGCTGGTGGGGGAAAGCATAATCCTATTATCTGGAATAATATGGAAAGAATCATAGAATCTTAACCATCAGGTAAGGCATAATTCACCTTTTAATTGAGCCAATAATGCGATTATATACTGAAAGATTACTTGGTATAAAGACTTTGTTTTATTTTTTAGGGCATTGGCCCTAAACTGTGATGCTCCATTGGATGATAAAATTGGAGCAGAGTCTCGGAATTGGAGAGCTGGTAAGCCAGTCAGAGTGATACGCAGTTTTAAAGGGAGGAAGATCAGCAAATATGCTCCTGAAGAAGGCAACAGATATGATGGCATTTATAAGGTGCTCTATCTGGCATGACATCTTGTTAGTCATTTTTCCTGGGCTTTTAAGACAGGGTTGCCACAGGGAACTACCCTACTGTGGGTGGGCTAAAGTAAATAGTAGACCACCTTAGTTGGTATCTCTACTTTTTCTGGAAATATAACAGATATACAAAGTGAGCTCCCAACTTTGATATTTTTCTCTTAATGCCTGTTTGAAGTCCATAAGGGCAGAGTTCTTTTTTGGGTTTAGTTTTTGTAATTATCTGTTCTCTGTGATAAAACTATTTAAATAACATGGGCATCATAGGTACTGATTCTTATATCTTTCAGAATTATTTTAATTATAATAGATTTTCAGGGCCAAGCACACTATAAGTTAAGATAGGTTGTATTCTTTGTTTAAAAAATGGAGCCATTTACTGCCACCATTTTTATATGCTCTTATGTGAGGTTCTATTAGTGAGCATAATCTTGTTAATATTTCAAATTTATAGCAATGTGGGAACTATCTGAATTAAGAATTAAGGTAAAAACAATATTCCAGTGATTATTTTTTATTTACTATTCTTAAAACAAAGCAAGTATCTTTTGAAGTTGCTTTTAGTTAGGTCAAGAATACTTAAACTATAACGTAGCATTATGAAGTCTAAATATTAAATCTCAAACTAGTACTGAAATAATTATGATTTAGGTGGTGAAATACTGGCCAGAGATTTCATCAAGCCATGGATTCTTGGTTTGGCGCTACCTTTTAAGAAGAGATGATGTAGAACCTGCTCCTTGGACCTCAGAAGGAATTGAACGGTCAAGGAGACTATGTCTACGTTTACAGGTTAGATTACATTTGTCTAGGCTACTTGTATGTTCATAAAAACACACACCTCTGTAGTATCTTTGTGCCTTAACACTGGATACAGCTCACAGCAATTGATCAGTGGACTGTAAGGGGTGAGGAATGAAATCATACAAGTATACAAAAGGAAAACAAGTAAAAAGGTAGCATTCTAGGTGTCAAACTGCTCTAAGACCAAGAATTGTGTTTGGGAAAAACAAGCCTTCAAGGAAAAGTAAAATATTTCCAATTTAATTTGGAAATGACTTGAAGAATGAAGGAGAGGGATACATAAAATTAACAGAGAGAAGAACTTAAGGGAAGTTTATCCTAGAGGGTGCAGGGGGTGTGTCTCTGGTAGGGGAAGGGGGAGGTGGCTTATAAGAGTGGTCTGCTTCTCCTACCCTTCTCACTTTTCCTCACCCCTTTTTTCTCTTCCCCCTCAAAGCTGCTTCCCTGTCCTGTCACCACCTTTAGTGCTTTGCCTTTTTTTTCCCCTTTGCCCATGTTCAGCTGTTAACCCATATAAGACTTTGTTGGTTTTGTATGCATAATGGATGGTATGGCTACATTCCCCATCTACTGCCTATGCACCCTAGAGTTTGTCCCTGACACTGACTTCAGAGCATGGTTTGAGTTCATCTTCCATCATTCCCCATTGTTGTGCTTCTTGTAAAGACTATCGGCTTTTCATTTCCCCTGGCTCTGCCCACACTGCATGTGTAGGGGCTGAACTATGGGCAAGTGTCTGACCACCCAGGCAGGTGAGTGTGTGTTTTCTAGTGCAAGTCTGTGTATGTTTTTGTTTTCTTTTAAACTTGTAAAATTGATTGTTTAAATGAGACCCATCAGCTTACAAAATAACTGCCAAAATTATTTTTATAACTTAATTTAAAAGAATAACTTGTTAAATCCATTTTCGGAAGATTTTTTCAGATTCATTGTTCAGAGCAATGTTCTAGATAGGTTAGATTTGAAACTAAGCAGAAGCATATAAACCCATCTACTGTGATAAGTTAATAATATCATTGATGGGGCCTGAAACATGTTGAGCTTTAAATATCAGTGTTATCAACAAAGCATGTTCCCTCCATAAAGGGTAGCCGGTAAAACACAAATAGGTAGAATTTTATTCCTTAAAGTCTAACCTTTAGCTGATAAAGAATTCAGTAATTTAGAGGCTCTAGGTCCTCTAAAATCCCCTCTGCCCTGCCTTATTTTGGTAGATAAGAAATTTGACCCTAAATGTTGGGGGTGGGGTGTGTTTTGTTTTGGTTTGTTTTTTGAAGATTGGCTCCACAATTGAGTGTACTACCATCTCTATGAATACCATATTGTGCTCTGTGGTTGATCTCACTTACTTCATATCTAGATTCTTTAATTTCTTCCTCACACTTTTCAAGCCACCTAGTCAAAGCTCCTGAAAACTTCTTTCCTCTTTTGTATCTGAAACTAAGATTATTCTTTTATACAATGGAATATGTTAACAGTCAAAACTACATGGTTTTACACTGAATTGGGGATTTTAATAGTCTTCTGTCCTTTAAATGTCTGTTTCCTTTATATAAAGTCTTTCAGTTTCAGGGAAAATATAGACTCTTCTCCTCTCCCCCACTTCCCCTTTTTAAATTTCTCAGCAGCATCTAGAACGCTTCTTCTCTGCGTTCTGAAAAATTGTACTTTTTCTCCCATCAGTATCCAGTAGGCTACCCTTCAGATAAGGAAGGGAAGAAGACTAAAGGACAGTCAAAGAAGCAGGCCAGTGGAGCCTCAAAAAGGCAAACTACAGATGGTAGGTAATGATTGCGAACATAAGCTATAAAATAATAGTTTCTAATAAAGAAACATATTAAGAGAATAAATTGAGAAACTCATAAGAAATTAAAAGCAAAGCGGAAGGTTTTTGGGGGGTGAAGGGTGGTGGGGGGCTTTCTGTGTATTTTAATAGTGTCAGAGCCAAAATAGCAGCAAACGTAGTATTCTAAACTCCAAGGAAAGTTAGATGCTGCTGTGTGCAGGTTATCTTCATGCTAAACAGTAACTGGTGCCAGTTAACTCTTTGGTCTCATAGTTCTGCTTAGAACCACTAGTAAATCTGCTTATGTATTTTTAAATAAATCTAGATGATTGTCCAAGTGCCTCCAAAGTGTTAAAAACATCAGATTCAGCAGAAGCGGTTGAGGCTTTTCAACTAACAGCTCAACAGCAACATCTAATCAGAGAAGATCACCAAAACCAGAAGTTATGGGATGAAGTGCTTGCATCTCTTGTGGAAGGTCCAGTATGTAAAGATTTTTTTAAATAATACTGTTTTATTATTAACATGGTGAAAAATAATTTTCCCTTGCAAGTCAATCAATACTTGATGTTTTATGTAATCGTCTCATCCAGTGCCACTCAGAAATAATATAATATTTAAATGCTTTTAAGTTGATCTTAGGCCTCTTAGTTGTTAGTTTTGACTTCTTTGTGCCTGAACTTAATCATTTATGTTGAAGGCACTATTCATGGGAAGAATTTTCAGTTGTGTAAACACACTTAATTTAAAACTTATCAGGAAATTTTTGCTATAGTTCAGAGTTATCTGATAAGGCATAAATCTTAAGCAGTTCAGCACGTTTAACCTGTTTGTAAAATAAACCACTGTTGATTTATTTAATGTTTTGGATTTTTTTACCCCATTTTTGGTAATCATGAAATTTTAAAGTGAAAAGAAATTACAACTGATGTATAGATTTTGTGTTAAGCTGTGTTGTGCAAATGAGGCTTCTTTATCAATCCCAAAAGCTGGAGTTTTCAAATGTGAATTGGCTATTCCTTCTTTGTTCACTTGCTTTTATTTATGTCTTAATTATGCTTAAAATTAGAATATTCTATTTATTAGATATTAACCCTTTACCAGGTGTAACATAGTTACTTCTTTGCATTTTTTCCTCTGTGCAACTATTGTGGGTTCAGTGAACCTTAGTATCTTGTCTTGAATTTTTATCCTGTCATATTCTACTAATTACTTCTTTCCAGTATTCCTTTTATTTCTGTCAGTGTATTAACCAGAATTTCTCATGTGTCTGAAATGATATTAGTTAAGATCTTTATATCTTTCTATCTAAATTTAGAGAGAATTCTCGGTTTTTGTGTTGCTTTTTATTTGAGAAATAGTCCTCAACATTAAGGAAGAATGTTCCCGGATACAGTTTTTAAACATTTATTTATTCATATATTTATATTTGTGTGTGTGTGTGTGTGTGTGTGTGTGTGTGTGTGTATACATATATTTTAAAGATTTCATTTTTAAGAAATCTCTGTACCCATCATGAGGATGGAACTCAGAACCCTGAAATCTACCCTGGCTCTACCGATTGAACCAGCCAGGTGCCCTTATTTTTTAATTTATTTTGAGTAATCTCTACCCCCTACATGAGGTTCAAACTCAAGACACCAAGATCAAGACACTCATGCTCTACAGACTGAGACAGTCAGATGCCCCTAATTTTTAAACTTTTAGAAATGGGTGAGATTTATCAAAAACCCTTTAGGAGTCACCATTTCCTTTGCTAATGTATGTGATAATGTTTGGGTATTCTTGGTAAAATGAAGCTTACATGTTTGGAGGACAGAAGGAGAGTGACTTAGCTTTGTGTGAAGTGTTACTTGCTTTTTAGCCAAAAGACTCAGACATAATGAGACCTGGTAGATTATTTTCACTTAGAGAAAGTAAGGTGCAGCAAACAGTTGTTGATCATAGTCTAAAATATTCACTGATTGGAGGGGATACAGCTGGTTAGAGGGATAACTGTGGGTGGGCAGGAGACAAGGTAGCAGTTATAGGTGAAGGAAAAAGCTACCTGAGTGTACATGGAAGTACTTTTGCACTCCATTGACTGGATTGGATGTGTGTATTGGGCTTCAATGTAAGACTTCTAATATGTGAATACTGTTTATCAATTTAAAAAAATTATTGAAGTGATTAAATCCTGTGAAACTTGGCAAATGTGTGCAAATCAAGTATACTTGTCAGTTGTTTTTTCAGTGTAACTTTAATATGAAAGATAGTCAATACTTGACAGTTCTCAAACCACATTTATAAAAAGGGGGGACACCTGGGTGGCTCAGTTGGTTAGGCATCTGACTCTTGGTTTCACTCAGGTCAAGATCTTGCGGTTTCGTGCATTCCAGCCCCACATAAGGCTCTACACTGTTGGTGGGGAGCCGTCTTAGGATTCTGTCTCCCTCTCTCTCTGCGCCTCCCCAACTCTCATTGTCTCTGTCTGTCTCAAAATAAATAAATACATTTAATAAAAGACAAAAATAGTATCCAGTAGGTTATCCGCTGTTGGCAAGATATCTCACCATGCCTGGGTCAGTTGATTATGACCTTGCTGCTATTGATTACTCTGGATGTTTATGTATTATTGTCGTGAGCAGGTTTTATGCCCATTCTCTTCAGATAAGCCAGGAACACATTTATTAAGCCAGAAAAATTAGGTGTTGGCCAATGGTGGCTTTTAAATAAGTGCATATGTGAGTACATTTTTATCCCAGTACCTTCCCAACCCTACGTGATCTGTCATGGTCCTTCTCAGGCCCAAATGCTTCAGCCATAGTGACCTCTGTGCTATTGAAACACTCTCAGCCCATTCCTGCTCCTAGGCCATTAGACCCATACCATCTCTCTGACTAGAAAATTCTCTTCTCTACACCTTCATCTAGCTCACTCCTTCATTCCTGTAAGTCTTTGCAAAGTACTAGTCTTCAGAAAGGCCTTCCCTGGCTAGCTACCCTTTCTAAAACAGTCACTCTTTACTCTGTTGCTTTAATTTGCTTTGTTTGCTCAGTTATTACTATCTGAAATTGATTTTATAAAGTTCCATGAAAGTAGAGGCTTTGCATTTTTGTCACCATGACGGAGATGAGTACCTAGCACATTGTAGGAATTTGAAATATCTGTAGTACATCTTACAAGTATCATGGAGATATCAGAGAAATTATCAATCTTTAACAAGGTAGTTTATTGTGTATTGGGGGGGGTACCTGCTATTAGAGTTTGAGTTTTTTCAATATCTCCCCATTTTATTCTTTCAGTATATTGTATAATATTTTGTTAATTCACTTGACTTTTATAATGTTCATAAGTTAGTTTCAAGATACAACTTTGAAATGGGACCTTTGATATAATTTTTACTTGAAATTCTTATAAATTCTACTTTTTTATAGAAATAAATAAATAAAATATGTTTCCATATTACCAGAAATAACTGAATAGAAGATTAGCCTTGTGGCTATTCAAAACACTACTTATCTTTCTAGTTTAAAAGAAATAGTTGTATAAAATGGAACCAGTAATTGCTTTTGATGAGTATGAGAGTACCGATTTGATCATATTTAGATGGCTCTACCTTGTATAATTTAGTCCTAATTTGAGTAAACATTGACATCAGGAAAATACGGGATTTTTGGATTGAGGCAAAATATCACATAGGATAATCCTAGGAGAATAAATATGTTGATTCTTTGGAGTATTAGATACTGCAGAGCATTATTGCCTAGTGCTTTTACTTATTTTTTTTTATGTTAAAAAAATAAATATTGAAGTTTCCCAGCAGCAAAAGATTAAATAAATAATGTGTTTATGTTATTGGAATAACACCCATCCAGCATTTTTGAAAAGAGATCTATATGTAATGACCTTGAGACAAGCTGTCCATGACTGATTTTTTCCCCCTTTTAGGTTTTTTTAAAAATTCCAGTTTGTTAATACATGTCCATGATTGTTTTAAAGGGAAAAATAGTAATCTCTTGAATGTGAGGTTTAAGGGGAGACATTCACTTTTTAATGCCATATATTTTCCCTTTTTAATGCCATATAATTTCCAAACCAATTATAAGATTTAAAACTAATGTGTATATCTTATGGAATGGAGTTTCTTCAGGTTTGTATTATATATTTGCTTATGGTCACCATTACTTTTTTTAATAGAAAATGTGTTAAATGTAAGAAAGACATTTTTTCCCTAATTACTTACAATCTTATTAATTTTTTATGAAATGCTAACCTTTTTTTTTCTTCCCCCTGGATACCATTCTAGAATTTTCTGAAAAAATTGGAACAGTCTTTTATGTGTGTCTGCTGCCAGGAGCTAGTTTACCAGCCTGTGACAACAGACTGCCTCCATAATGTCTGTAAAGTAAGTAGGTTTCTTTCTCATTTTCCCATGTTAGGACAGAGGGCAACTAGCACATGAAATATATTTCCATGCAGCAGAATAATTGTGGAACCTTGCCAGTTAAGAAACATTTCATTACATTTTGTCAGTAATGCATGTTTTAATTCTACAGTAATAGTCAAATATGTATTGTATAGTCAAAGGTACTATTGTTGAGGAAAGTATGAAATGGAGAAGAAAGTAAGGTGTCATTGCTGTTTTCTATGTTATAGCTTATGTATGTTTCATTTATTATAGTGCAGACTGAACTAACTCCATCCACTTAATGAAACCTTAAACAGATTCTGTCTGTTAGCATTCCCAGAGGAGTTGAATATTGTATTATTAGTGTGGTATAAAGGGAAGGATTGAGTTTTAGTCAAACCAAGGTTGGAATCCTGCTCTGCTGCTTAGTGATTGTGTGCCCTGACCTAACATCTGAATTTTAATTTCTTTTGTAAAATGGAAACAAACATTCCACATATGTTTGTGCCTGACCTATATATTTCTAGAAGACGCATTCTATGCTAAATGATTTGATAAAATATATAACTTAGTTCTAAGCAAGGGAATCCTAAATTTCTTTTAAGTGTTCTGTCATGAAAGACCAAGATTAAAATCCAACCTGGGTGAGGCTAGTGGAAACCATCTATAAATTCTAACACTGTCATTTTATTGGATGAGGAAAATAAAACACACAAAAATTAAAGTCATTTATTTACCTGAAGCCTCACAATATATGCTAAAAATGGAACTTGAAGCCATGCATGTCTATAGACTAGTTTTCATAGTGCAGAGTCAGGCCTTTACAGTTCATCTTAAGTTCCTGTTTAAAAGCATAAGTCGCTGACTTTTCTAATACTGTACTCTAATGAAATTGGGAATGTTTTTGTTTTTGTTGTTTTTTGGTTTTACCTTAGGATTGCTTACAGCGTTCCTTTAAGGCTCAAGTTTTCTCCTGCCCTGCTTGCCGGCATGATCTTGGCCAGAATTATGTCATGATTCCCAATGAGATTCTGCAGACTCTACTTGACCTTTTCTTTCCCGGCTACAGCAAAGGACGATGATTTGTCTGCTACTGAGTTGCTCTTGGTGGTTTTTTTGGACAATAAAGAATCTAAAATGTTTGGGGGGAGGGGGCGGGGAGGGTGGAAGCGCAATGGTGGACCATATCTTTCACGTTCTGAAGCAGCTAATCCTCTTTCCTACATAGCCATTATCTTGTGTGTGTAGTAAGAGGCCCATTTCTCAACTGTCTTTTAAATAACAAAAGGTAGTTCCTGTAACAACTAGTTTTAAATGAGTAAAAAGTCAAAGCCTCAGCTCTAGTTGATATCCAAGTCATGATTTATTTTGCAACTACCTCAGGACAGAAAAGACTTATGGGGATTTTTTAAATCATTGAGTAATTAGTTAAATGAAATTTTAGCTACGCACTGCCTCCCAAATATTAGTTGTGCCTGGTTCATGTAATTTGATTTTACAGAAAAGGAAATGACACTTGAGATCTTTGGAACGCAGCTTCTGTATTGTGCATAATACATTTTTAATGTCTTCTTCCATTACAATGTGTTTTGCAAGGACAAGTTCATTTTTTAGCCCATTTTGTGAGCTCCATTGTGCTTTTTTCTGGTGTTTTATGCAAGTTGACTACTAATGACTAATGAGAACAATATGAATGCATTGTTGCTGCATTAGTGTAATGTGGTGTGGTTTTGCACTTAAAAGAGGTATTCAGATGCTCTAGTTGTAAATGTTCATGAAAAGCCTCTTCTGTACTAGTCAAACTGCTTTTAGTGAGTCTCACCAGTGGTTTTACATCTGCAGAGCATTGAGGGCTGGGCTTGACTTTTGAGAGGACTGAAATTGCTTCATATTGTGATCCTAAATTTTATATTCACTATATTCCCTAAAGTATACATTAATAAATATTTTATGACCAGAAAAATAGCTCCTCTTACTTTACTTTTTTACATTTGTCTGGCTTGTAAGTATATATTTTTAAGAATCACCTCCAGAGTACTTCATTGTGCATTTTAAAACAGACATTTTGTACAATTCTCTATTCTTGATTTTTGATAATAAGGACTAGTATGAAATCTTAAACACTAAGAACAGGTTTCACCTGTTTTTTTTTAATTTTACTAAATTGGAAAAACTTTCTATAATAACTTATGTTCAGTTTTAGCAGCAGTGCTACTTCTTATTTCACAGACATGAGAATATGCTAAAACATTGTTCTTGTCTCTGAAAGTATATTGTTTTTATCAGATAAAATCTGATAAAAATCATATTGTTTAGTATGATTGAACAGTTTTTCTGTTCTTGAATTCAGAGCCATATATAGTGCCAACATTTATTGAGTATGTATGTATTCATTTAATCTGTCTGACAACCTTTAGAGGCAGGTACTATTATCCCCATCTTATGGATGAACCTCAGAGGTACAGAAAGGTTAAGAAACTTGCCAAAGTTTAGGGCTGCCTGGGTGGCTCAGTCAGTTAAGCATCCGACTTCAGCTCAGGTCATGATCTCACAGTTGGTGGGTTCGAGCCCTCGTCAGGCTGGAGCCTGCTTCTTATTCTGTGTCTCTCTCTCTCAAAAATAAACAAACATTTAAAAATTTTTATTTTTTAAAGAAAAGAAGAAGCTTGCCGAAGCTTATCCTTCAAGGAAGTGGCACAGCTGCTGTGCTAGAAACTGGCAGTGTGAGCCCAGATGTTGGCAGTCTTTACTATAGGGCTATATAAGCTCTCACATTTGAATATAAGCCAAGCTTGTTTGGGTGCTTTTTCTGCCTTCAATTAAATTCAAAATCAGGTTCTGGGGAACACTCATAGCATAATGATTAGAATGGTTGTCTCTTTGGGCTTGTTTTTAACAGACATTGGAATCATTTTTATTTTGAAGAATCTAAGTCTAATTTAAATAGAACCTTTTTAGATTGAAATAAATCATTAAATTGCATCATCTACTGTTGTATTCCCTTTCGCATTGGCCATCTCTCTGCATGAAGGGTAGGGAACATCTCCCAGTTTCAGCTACTTGAACTACTTTGTTTTGCTTTTATTAGCAAAATAAGTGATTTCCATAGTTAGGCTATGTTTTGTCTTAACTTTGCTATAACATTATAGACTAGGAAAGAAAGCTGCTTCCAGCTTAACATGTTCAGGAGTCCAGGATAGCCCCAAACTCCATTGTTTCTAATGTCATATGTAGATATTTTAGGTTAGTTTGTTTGCATCAGAATCCAAATGAGGACCTTACATTGTTGTTAATTGCTATCACTTAAGTATCTTTTATTTATTTATTTATTTTTAATTTTTTTTTTTATATTTTTTATTTATTTCTAGGAGAGAGAGAGAGAGACAGCGTGAGCAGGGGAGGATCAGAGAGAGAGGGAGATACAGACTCTGAAATAGGCTCCAGGCTCTGAGCTGGCAGTCAGCACAGAGCCCGACATGGGGCTCGAACCCGCGAACCGTGAGATCATGACCTAAGCGAAAGTCGGACGCTTAACCGACTAAGCCACCCAGGTGCCCCGAAAAGCTGTTTTAGATAGTACAGTAGTCACGAGTGGTCTGATGAGGTAACATTTTTTTACTTTTTATTTGTTTTTTGAAGAGGTAACATTTTTAGTAGGTCCCTAAGGAAATGAAGTGTTCAGNGAGATCATGACCTAAGCGAAAGTCGGACGCTTAACCGACTAAGCCACCCAGGCGCCCCTCACTTAAGTATCTTTTAATCTGTATATATCCCCTCTATCAATTTTCCTTTATTTTTTCAATTGTATATTTAAATTATTCTAGAGTCCTGACAGAGTAAGATTTTGCTGATTATAACCATGTGGTATGGTTTAACCTGTTTCTCTTTTGTGTAAATTGATAGTTACAATTCAAGCATGATCAGATTTAGGTGTGAGGTTTTTTTTTTGGCAATACTTCTTCATAGATGGTGTGGTTATCCCTTCAGGTAGTACATAGTATCTGATTGTCTCATAGGCTTAAGTTTGAAAGAGGAGTTTCTCCCTGGATTCTGGTACATGTAGTAGGTTATAGTGATTCCTATTAAGTACTCAGCCACTTTCATATGGGTAGGATTTTTTTTTTCTTAAATTTTCTTATAGAGTAAGAAAAGCCTGTAGTTGTAGAACTCATTTCTAAATAATATGGCTCATTCAACAAATATGTGCATACATGTATGTTTAAGAATGTTAGGTAAGGGTACCTGGGTGGCTCAGTCAGTTAAGTGTCAGACTCTTAATTTCAGTTCAGGTCGTGATCTCAGTTTGTGAGATCAAGCCCCATGTTGGTCTCTATGCTGACAGAACAGAGCCAGCATGGGATTCTCTCTCTCTGTCCCACCCCTTTGCAAGCCCTCTCTCAAAATAAACATTTTTTCTAAAAAGAGGGGCATCTGGGTGGTTCAGTCAGTTAAACGTCTCACCCTTGACTTTGGCTCAGGTCACGATCTCGCAGTTCACAAGTTAGAGTCCCACATTAGGTTCTTTGCTAACAGCACAGATCCTGCTTGGGATTCTCTCTCTCTCTCTGTCCCTCCCCCACTCACATACTCTCTTTCTCTCAAAATAAACAAACATTTCAAACAAAAGAATATTAGGTAAACTTCAGGGAGTTAGCAATATAAAACACCCTAAGCTCTCTCACAAGCTTGTTAACAACAGTTTGGCTAACAGAAAAGGGCCCTGCCTGTAACTTAAAAGCTTTGGATTTTAGTGTAGAGTCTGTATATAAATTGGATACAGATCTGCTCTGACTTGTCCACTGTGTGCTATTTCTTTTTTTGCTTATTAGGGATCAAACCTTTCCCTATTTTTCAGAGCACCCTGAAAGACAGAGCTCATGGCTCTACCTGATTTGAGGGAATTAAGTTTGATGGTCCCCTAATCACCAGCTTCTGCTGGGAAGAGTGTTTTGTGCTTATCTATTGTATGCTGACTGGTCCCCATACCAGACCTTTAAGTCCCTGAAGGAACTGATTATTTAGTAACCTGGAGTAATCAGACACTATACAGAAAAAAACCACAAATGCTAGATGTGAGACATCAAGAACTAGCTAGAGGGACCAGGCAGGCAGACCAAATGACTGCTATTGAAAAAATGAATGAAAGAATATATTTTACACTATAACTATAATCAAATATAAAATTGCGTTGCATTGATGGAATAACAAGCTGCTGTGTGAAGAATGGTTTGAGATTAAAATTCGTGGAAATAAACGAAAACAAAATATAACAGGCAAAACAGAATAGACAAAATGTGAACATATTACTGGGTATTCCATTATATATGGATATTCCACAATTTGTTTATACATCTGCTAATGGGTATTTGAGTTTCCAAAATATTGCTATTATAAATAAAGCTGCTTCATGTGTAAGCATTTGAATAATAGTTTGAAAGTTTCCTATAAAATTAAATATGTCCTTACTATACAACCCATCAATTTCATTAGTATCTGCTCAAGATAAGAGATACTCTAAAGTGGTTTATACCATTTTACTTTCCTGCCAGTCATGTTTGAGAATCTAGTTGCCCCCCGTTCTTACTGACACTTCATTTTTGCCTTTTGGTTATAATCATTCTAGAGGATGTGTAGTTTCTGTAGGACACAAGAGGGGGTTGAATATTTACTGACCAGAATGAGGGTAGTCATTGGTACTGTTTTTCTGGTATTTCTGGCTCTCAAAGGATGTGTTAGGATTATACATCTTAGCCTCCTTGTGGTTGGCTGCGGTCATGTGACCAGTTAATCATTGATCTGTGACAAATGCTGTGTGTCATTTCTAGGTAGAACATTTCATTGCCCTCCAGTTTTCTTTGCCCTTCCATGGGGATCAGTAGCACCAGACAACTTTTCTAATAACCTGGGACCCAGAATGAGAATGACACAGAGCACACCACACCTCCAGCCAAGCCATGATGAACATGGAACCATAAGTGAAAAGTAAATCTTCAGACTCTTAAGATTTTGGAGTTAACACAACATGACTGAGACGTGACCTGTTAGAAGCCAGAGGTGCCAGCTATGCTACTTCTGAATTCCAGACCCACAGAA